ACAGCTTCTTTTTTAATTTTATTTTTATTTATTTGAAAGGCAGACTTAACAGAAAGGCAGAAACAGAGAGAGATAGAGGTCTTCCAGCCAGTGGTTCACTCCCTACATGACTGCAATGGCCAGTCTGCACAATCTGAAGCCAGGAGCCAGGAGCTACAGACTGAGGTCTCACTCATACTTGTGATACTGATAGAGAAATCCATTGGAAGTTTTCCTCAAGAAACAGGGTTGGTCCTGGCATTGTGCCTTTCGCTCTCATTCCCTAGACATAACTTTGCTGGAATCATGAAGAAAAATGCCACAGTTGTTCTTATCCCCAACAGAAAAATAATTTATTGTCTCTGTTTGAAATTAAACTACAAATGGCTTTTTTTTTCAAGGATACAGAAGAAAATAATTAGCAATGATGTTCTAGTTTCCAAATCCACATTTCACTTGCATTAAATAAGACTTATTCTGAGCATCTTATTTTTAATGTTAACATTTATTAGCACGTACAATATGAGTTGACTTGATTATTTGAAGACTTCAGCTTCAATCATTCACTAATAAATAGATTTTTTTTCCTAATCATTCCAAATTCTCATCTTACACAATGTCCTAGAAAATCCCTACATACTTCCTAGAATATATTTTATCGTTCTTGTTGGAACAAGTGCCAAAAGATCACATAAATCAAACAAGGAGCTATTAGTAATTCTTATTTTGCTCCAAAGATAATTATGAAATTTATAGTATGTCACCTCTGCAGTAGAAAGCCATAATTTTTTATCTGTGCTTTGTAACCTGATTAGTGGTCTTTTCTGGATGCTAAGCACAAGAAGATCTCATCATTTCACTTGAAAGTAGGGGAATTTACCAAAATTTTTCCTTTATTTATACTACTATTTTTAGGAAAGTCTCCTTTGCATGTTGTCCAATCAATCCTTCTTAAAGGGACAGAATGATGAGAATTCTTAAAATTCATAAACATATATGCTATTGTCAGGTCATCAAATTAAAGAAGCTGCAAAAAACTAAGTATTTATTTCTTTTTCTGTCTATAATAATGACAGTGAGCTTGTATTTGCCAGGAATCACACATAAATAAATTAATAAATTATCTGTCAATCATCCTTCATATTATACAAAAGGAAACAAGGACTTCAAATTTAAGTGACCTGCCCAAATCAATATATTTAATAAAAAAGAGAGGACAAGACACAAAATCAAGTCCTTCTTTTATTAACACCCATATTGCTTACAATCTACCCTACTGTCTGTCTCATGAAGGGTAAATTAGATAAGAGATAACTAGACAGGAGGTCTTTACTTCTTAGAATACATTTATAGCCAGTGCTGTGGCAGAGTGAGTTAACGCCCTGGCCTGAAGCACCGGTATCCCATGTGGTCGCTGGTTCAAGACCTGGCTGCTCCACTTCTGATCCAGCTCTCTACTGTGGCCTAGGAAAGCCATAGAAGATGGCCCAAGTCCTTGGGCCCCTGCACCTACGTGGGAGACCTGGAGGAAGCTCCTGGCTCCTAGCTTTGGATAGGCTCAGATCTGGCCATTGTGGCCAATTGAGGAGTGAACCATCAGATGTAAGACCTCTTCTGTCTCTGCCTCTCCTCTCTCTGTGTAACTCTGACTTTCAAATAAAATAAATAAATCTTAAAAAAGGAATACATTTATAGTGATTTTATACATGTGGTAAAATCAGATGTGTTTGTTGTCATATTTATGAACAAGCAAATTGGTTTCTCATATTCTTCAGAAATATTGGCATTTTCCTCACTGATTTTTTTTTTACAGGCAGAATGGACAGTGAGAGAGAGAGAGAGAGACAGCGAGAAAGGTCTTCCTTTTTTCCGTTGGTTCACCCCGCTATGGCTGCTTGCTGCTGCGGCCAACGCACTGCGCTCATCTGAAGCCAGGAGCCAGGTGCTTCTCCTGGTCTCCCATGCAGGTGCAGGGTCCAAGGATTGGGCCATCCTCCACTGCACTCCCGGGCCACAGCAGAGAGCTGGCCTGGAAGAGGAGCAACCAGGACAGAATCCGGCGCCCCGACTGGGATTAGAACCCAGGGTGCTGGCGCTGCAGGCGGAGGATTAGCCTATTGGTTCTTATACTTATTGTGTGACTCCATTTAGATTGGGAACTATTTTATTTTAACTTGCAGTTGCAGTCCTAATATCAGGATCAGAGATTAAAAATTTTTAAAAATTTAATCCTCTTTTAATTTTAATTAGTTTACCAAATTCATTATGCTTCATAGATACAATTCTAAGAACAAAATGATATCCTTTTCCTTTCTTCCTCTCACACTCCTTTCTTCTCTCATTTTTTTTTTAGTTTTTGAGATAATATTTTAAATTTTATTACACTAAAAAGGCTTTACACTTCACCAAATAAGTTTAACAAGGGAAAGCAAAAATACCCTAGTTTAGTGGGAAGATAGATAATGGCTATAAACAATAACTGAGTGGAAAAATGAGCATTTCACCCATAGACAGTAAATTTTAAAATAATCACAGATCATTAAGACTATAATAGTATAACATTCTTAAACACTGGTTTCACAAAGGTATAGAACAAAGTTTTGCAAACCTTATTAGCAACAATACTTATACACACAGATATTTCTTACTTTTTTTAAATTTTAGCTCCCACATATAAGGAAAAATGCACTATTTATCTTTCTGGAACATGCTTATTTCAACATATGTCCTCCAGTTGCATCCATTTTGTTGCAAATGGTAGGATTTCATTTTCTTTCTTAACACCTGAATAATATTCCATTGGTATATATACCACATATTCTTAATCCATTCATCTTACGATGGACACCTTGGTTGATTCCAAATTTTGATTATTCTGAACAGTGTTGCTGCAAACATGGTGGTGAAGATATCTCTTTGATACATTGTTTTCAAGCCTTTAGGCTGTATACCCAGTAGTGGAATTGTAGAATCATATGGCAAATCTATTTCAGATTTTTAAAGAAATCTTCACATTGTTTTCCACAGTGGCTGTGCTTATTTATATTCCCACCAATAGTGTATATGTGTTTCCCTTTCTCCACATCCTTGCCAGCATTTGTTATATTCTGTGTTGCGGATTTTAGTCATCTGACAGGGGTGAGGTGATATTTCATTGTGGTTTTGATTTGCATTTCCCTGATGGCTAACAATATTGAGGAATTTTTTTCATATATTTGTTGGTCGTTTGTATTTCCTCTTTATAGAACTATCTATTGAAGTCCTTGACCCATTTCTGAACCAGATTGGTTGGTTGTTGTTGTTGTTGTTGCTGAGTTTTTGAAGTTGTTGATATATTCAGTATGTTAATTCTTTGTGAGATAGGTGGTGTGCAAATATTTTCACATTATATTGGGTGTCTCTTCACTCTATTGATCAGTTCCTTTGCTGTGCAAAAGCTTCTCAGTTTGATAAAGCACAATTTACTTAGTTTTGCTTTTGTTGCCCTAGAAAAATAAGAACAAACTAAACCCCAAATGAGCAAGAGGCAAGAAATATTAAGGATCAGAGCATAAATAAATGAAATTGAAACTAAAAACAAATCAAAATATCAAAAACCAAAAAATTGATTTTTAGAAGATAGACAAAATAGATAAATCTTTAGCCAGATGAGAATAAAAGGAGAAAATAGTGAAATAAATAAAATTAGAGATAAAAAAGGAGACATTGCAACCAACACCACTGAAATACAAAGGGTCATCAGAAACTACTATGAAGAACCATATGCTAATGCACTAGAAAACATTGGAGAAATTGATAAATTCCTGAATCTATTCCCATGGGATCATACATGATTTACTTAGTTCCCTGACCAATGAATTGTAAAAATATATGAGAAATGCAACTCATCATTTCTGGGAATAGCAGGAGATGTCCTGAAATCTAATTTTCCAGATGTCAACCAAAAGCTAATTTAGCAAACAGGTATTTCTAAAGAAAACTCTTTTCTGTAAAGCATAGTCACATATTAAATGAAGAGGAAGGCAATTTCAATGAATTAAATGAAAACAAACAATTCCTAGAGCTCATTCATTATTCAACAAATATTGACTGGAAAACAAAATTTTAGAGACTTGGAAAACAAGATTAAATAAGACTGACAAGATTATTGATATGATATATGTTGCTTATGGTAAAGTTAATGTAATAAATTACTAAATTGTATATGTTAGTACAATGGTGCCATCTTGTCTGTGGTGCCATCTATACCCCAGACACCATCCTTGGCTGTGGCCCCCATTGCCATTGCTATAAGCCAAGTGACCAGATGGTCCAACCACAGGTGTCAGCTCCACTCCCACCCTAATGAGATTTGCTGCTCCTATTTCCCTGCCCCTTGCAAAGGTGAAATAGGACCTGTTTCCTGTACATGTATCCTCCTGACTCCTCTCTTACTCTCCCATTCTCTCCTCCCAGCCCGTTGGGCTTCTCCCACCTGACAATAAACATTTCCCTTAACTCCAGTGTTTGGTGTGTTTTGTGGCAGCCTTAAATTGGTACCATGACTTGGATCTAGGCTCTTCCATTGACCTTGCTCTCCCCTGGGGACCTGAGCTGCTTCAAGATCCTGAATTTATGCCAGCCACAAAACACACCCCTAGGTCCTCCTTGACACCACAGAATGCTCTGTGATCACCACACATCAGCCTTTCAAAATCCTGAGGTAAGACAGGGAATAGGGAAGTCTCTCACGGCGACCTCTACCATGGGTTATGGCTCCATTCTGCTTTGTCTTGAAGTCCTGGTACCAGGTACCATAACCTCCCAAGGGCTTTATGCCTTCCATGCCTTCTGCCTTTCCACAGGCTCTATGCCTTCCACGGGCTCTAGGCCTCAGGCACCAGTGGGTATGTGAGTGATGACCCCCACTCTGTTCCTGTACCCTCCCCATTGGACAGCCGTGAGCTTGGGGATATCTGATATCCTTCAGTCCAACTCCACCAGTTGCCATGGGAACTTCTCCCTCCTGTGTTCCATCCAACCCTCCTCTCAGTTGTCTCCTACCTCTACAGCCAGTCCACATTTGACTCTGACACTATTCAAGATCTTTATCACTTCTGTGAGTATTTGGGAAAGTAGAAGAAAATCTGTCTAAGCTTTCTCCTATCTCAACTCTAAACCTTCTCTGGCTCAAGTTCTCTTAATTTTCAAAGCTCTTAATAAAAAGCCAAACCCCTTTCTTTTACTTTCACTGCTCCAGCTCTCACTGTCTCATTGTATCTCTCCCTCCTGCCCAGGAATTCCAACTTTATCTCGGAACCACCCCTTGTCCAAAGTCTACTCCCCTGCCTTATCTATGATACTCTCTAACACCCTCCTCCCAGAAAACAAAAGCATAATGGCAAGGAGTGGTGATTCCATTCTCCTAAGCTCTCAAGTCATCTATCCCAACCTTTTGATGGCTCTTTTGTTTTATTATGAGCAAACCAGAAAGGATTAATCAGGTATTTTGATGGATTTTGTCCCCACCTTGTAACTGAATGTCAAGCTGACCTCAGCAGGTCCCTTCAGTTCCTACAAACTTGATTTCCTGGACCAATTAGTGAGCATTTCCTAGACTGGCCCTTCAAACCAGCTGGCTCACTGGGTTAGTTAGTATTTCCAGATATATCTCCTTTTTTGCTAATTGCCCCTTACTCTGTCACCTATCAGAATCTTTTCCTTAGGAATTTTTGGAGGGGTGCCCATCTCCTCTGTTGGATGCCCTCTCCCATTAAACCTAATATAATGGTGAACAATCTCCAGTGGACCTTGTGTCCTTGGCACATCAGCCCCTGGTCCACAGTCAGCTTTGGAACCTGTCTTGCAGCTGCCTGAACTTTTTGTTTGAGAGGCAGTCCCAAATGGCTGATGTTGACTAGGGTATCATTGGCCTAAGGTGTTCTCTGGGTAAAAAGAAAAGTAGCCCAAAATTCAATTAGAAGCTAAAAAAAGTCTTTGGTAAGCAATAACCTCATGCATGAAAATTTGACTCAGCTGTAACTGGACACTGGATTTGAAGAAATGTCTCTCTTTGAATCTAGGAGGTTCACTGCCTTTAAAAATATTGCTTTGTAACGTGCTGAACTTGTTTTGCAATTTGTTTTAGAAGATTTCTGATGATATAGCAATGGGTAATCGGTACTCATTACATAGCCCCTAAGGTCGATTTTGCAATCTCTAGTTTAATGTCACTGATTTATAGCTAGAGTTTTATAAAAGGAGTAGAATTCCATATGAATGCAATTTGGACCTTAATTCAGATAGGGGTATCATATAATACCAGCATCCTCTGTTATCCAGGTATAATTGCTAAATGTAAATTGGGTAAAGGCAAATGAGATAAATGATTCTAAATGCAAACTTTGGTACTCTTAGCACCTTCTAACATGTTTCCATAAATTGTCCATATGAAAATAGTTCAAAAGTAACTAAGATTGAAAGTCCATGTATTATCTTATTTAGAAAATGTCTTAATCTGAGATTTCTAAAGGGTTATTTCAAAATGCAAATCAAGGAAATCAGCAGATAAAAAGCAAAAGCTATTAGTCTATTTGACATAGAACTAGAACCTAATGCTCTGTTAAAGCAATGAGGTTTCTGCAACACATATATGTTAGTCAGTATTTTAAATAGTCTTAAAAATCTGTTTAAAACCTGCAACATTTCCTCTTGATAGTTTTTGTTTAATGGGTGACTCTAGTAGTTTTCTAGCCAGCTCGAATAAGCTATTTTCTCTTCCATAGTTTGAAATCTGTTAAAATTTTTCCAAGTTATAGGATAATTCCATGTGCTAATTAATTTAAATTTCTATTCCCAATTTTTGAAATGACCAAAGACATTATTGGTAAATAATCTATTGCATTCTCTACTGTCTCGTTAAGTTCTGACTGTTTAGTAACAACTGAGTTTTAAAAGAGTTATGGTTTGTTTGAATATACACTCATTCTAAAGCATCTGAGTAATCACTTTGTAACAATGATCAAATCTGCTCTATATTATATCTTGGTGTTAGAGGACCCTGTATCTACCAATTATATTAAGTCTTCTTGGCATCCTTGACAGACATCTAAAAAATCAAAGTCCCAAGGAATTTGGACTTTGATATTTCTAGTTGGGCCCATGGAAATGTTAAAAGATATATCTCTCATCTTGTAGAGACACCAACTAGTCAAGCTATTTGGATATATTAGAGGTACTGTCAAGATGTGAAATGGTGCTAAATTTTAAGCTATGATAATGTAAGGTGCTACTTATACAAATGTTCAAAAGTTAAAAAGTCTAATGATCTTGTGTTACCAGACATGATGGTTACCTTAATGAGAAAGGCCCAGAAGCCTAAAAGGGATAAGTGTTTTGAAAAATCCTACAGGTGCTTTAAAAAATACTATATGGAATAAGCAAGTGCCTCTTGTTGGTTAATGAGTTTATAATTTTAAATGTGGCTATTTAAAGTCTTTTGTCACCCACAGTTTTGTATATCAGATTTGCTGCTCATAAAATTAAACATTGTTGGTTCTGTGTTTAACTGTCCTCCTATTGGTTCTGAGGGATTTTTTTTCCAATGACTTCAATTGTATTCAGTAATTAGGGATGGCTCTGTAAGCAGATGAAGCCATGAATGTACTACAGGGTCCAAGAGGAGAAAGTATGGTTTATCGAGGTTACTAAGAGCAGAAAGTAATTCAAATCAATTGATAAATTTTTTTTTAAAAAAAGGTTAAAGATTTTAAGAAGCTATTACTGAAGTTGCTTTATTGTTCTATCTTGTATGTTATGTTATATATGTATACATATTATATGCCTACATAGGAAAATTTATTAAGAACTCTGTTTTAATTGGCCTATAGATGAAAAAATTTCTCATATTTAAAGCTACCTTTGGTTCATGTGACCGAGATGAAGCTCTGTATCAGATGTTTTAAATTTGTTGGAAGAAAGAAACTAAAAATCTGTTTTTACATGTCTGTGCATGAGTTAGCTGGTCAAAAAAGTTACATCATATTAGATATTTAAGAGATTTTTTCAAATACATGTATTCTTGTCTTAAAATTTATAGAAGGCATTGAACCTTCTGGCAAATGTCTTAATAAGTTGTTATTTGACAGTTAACACTGCTTGGTATGGTCTCATTTTGATATTCTTATTGTCAGTAAGCTATCTGGGAAGTTTGCCTTCTTTCCTCATTTCTCTGCAAGAGGGGAAACTGACTTTCTACTGAAGGACTCCCCAAGATGTACAGTTTGATTTTTAGATCTTATAAAAGAAATGCCTAATATTTTTCTATAGTAATAGCATAGCCAAAATGAGAGCTTAAATTATGATTTCACAGCTATATTTGCTTCACCATGGGCACAGTAAGCAGGCAAAACCTCCCTTTCAGACCAAATGAAGGGAGAGAAAGTTTTAAAGTGAGGACATAGCTTTCCTCATGTGTATTGTCTACCTCACAGAAAAACCATTATCAGAACATGCCTGTGACTATAGACTTCTAGTTTAGGCCACCAAAGATTAGAGATGGGACTTGAACACCCCCTTGACTGGCATATTAAAGGTTTCCTCTGGTCTGCTTTAACAAAAACCAGGAGGAAGAGAAACCTAGGCATCAACAGCCATGTAAAGATAGGTGGAAGTCCAATTAGTGGCTGCTTTACACAGTGATCTGCCATCAAGGAGACCCAACAGGCCAGTCCACTGCAGTGGCTTTCAATGTGAAAAGTCAGGGCTTCAGCAGAAGTCAGCATATGAAGAGCTCTGCCAGCCAAGAGTTGGGTCACTAGAAATGGAACGGTCCTGGAGCTGAAGGACTTCAGGTCAGAACCACAGTTTTTGTTGGCTCTGAACTGAAAAGCCCTTCACTCAGCCCAGATTCCAAAGTAACCACCACAGCTAAAGGGGTAGCCAAATGTCAGTAACATTGCAGACAAGACTATAAATCTCCTGTTAGAGGTGCAACCTGCTTTTACCTGGCCAGCTCTCCTCCCAGGCCAGCAAGATAATGGAAGTCAATAGGTGCCTTCCCCAAGGAGGCTCATGCCTCCTTTGGACGTACCTCATGTGGGGAGATACATAGGTATGTACCCTATGAAGAGATATATAGGTCTAGGCCTCATGACTGGCAAGGCCTGATTATTATCAGGCTCCTTCTGTCAGTTTTTATTTGCTTCTCAATCTGGAAAATTATTCATGGCTCAGACAGCACCTTTCTTAGGTCCTCCAATAATGACTCTGTCCTTTGTTCTAGACCCTGTCTAGCCCACTTGGAGCCTTATTTTTTGTAATCATACCCTCTATTCTTACATCAATGGCTCTACTACAAACACATGTATATTGATTAGCCTCTTGTACGATTGCTTAGAATTTTTCTACAGACAAAGCCCTCTACCCATAAGAGATAAGCGGCCTTTCTTCCAGTCATGGTTGGATCAGCTTCCCATCCTCTCTGTCTCCTCATTAGTGATCTCAGGAACAGCTTTGGGCCACAATGTCATAAAGAACAACCAACTCCAAAACAACTCCAATAGTTACAAGAAGATGTCACTAGGTCCATTGAAACCTCAGTTGATGCCATCTGAGGTCTCCAAAGCCATATTACCTCACTAATAGGCATGATACTATGGAACAGATGGACCTTAACAGTGTTGTTATTATGTTAACTAATCGGGCTAATTAAAACTACATCCATCAAACAGTCTTCACTAGAGTCCAGAGGCCTCCCTCATTTCTTTTCTTCTATGAAATTGTCTTATTACTTGGTTAATGCCACTCTTAGGACAATTAGTTGCTATTCTCACCCTGGCCTTTACACTATCTTGTCTGTTTAAGTGTTAACAGGAGGTGATGAACTAAAGCCTTCACCAACCAGGCAGTCAACCAAATACTGCTACAGGGATGTATTCGGCTCCCCACCCAGGAGACTGTTGCTTGAGACATCACCTCATGTCAGTGGAGAGGAACTTGTCACCCCATATCAGCAGGAAGTAGCTCTAATGACAGATCATCATCCCACAAGCCCTTCTGTACTTCTGGGATGATGCAATCCCATACAATGGCTGCTTTACAAAACACAAAAATGGGGGA